TATATATATATATCGAGAGAGGTGATATGGAATCTTATTAAAGCATAAATCTACAACTCAGATTTTCTTCAATTATCTCCGTTAATTAAACCAAGACTAAAATCATTTGAACATTAATTGCATAAAATAAATTTTAAAAAATTCAGCATCATTACACATCGACATCAATTACGTCACTTAGCAAGATTTATAATTTACCTCGCCTTTTCAGTCAACATTTATGAGCGTCTCTTAGTTTTAAAAACTTTGAAAAAATAAACAATATTATCCTTTTGTTTTTAAATAATTGATGCAAAATAACTTCCTTTATATATATAGGTCACTGGTGCATTGTGGGTAATCTATTCTGGTGGTCATTTTTGTTGTTTATTTATTTGGGTTAATTTATTTTACTTGTTTTTCCTTTTCATTTTGTATTATTATTCTTTTCGTTTTTTCATGTTTTAAAAATGTAGTCATGTAGTATAAAATTTTGCAGGGTATTTGCTTAGGTCACTTATTTACTAGTTCGTTTTGGTCTGGAAAGATAATTATTTATTCGTCTAATGTTTAGATTGCTTGCCGCAGTCTATTCTGTTATTTTGGTGAGTGGACAGTTTTTAATATATCCATCTGCTGACCCATATATATAAGTAGTCATGGAAAAATTTAGCATCCACGGCCTGAGGATTGCGCGCAGCATGAAAAAGCCTGTAAATATAAAAGTGAACACTGAAGTCAACACTCAGAAGCGACAGGCTGTTTCATATAAGTCGCAATCGTCAAGTCGCCTGACGATTGCGTCTAGCATGAAACAGCTTGTCGCCTCGAAGTATCGACCTCAATTTTCACTTTCATTCATATATATATATATATATATATATATATATATATATATATATATATAGGAACTTAAAGAATGATATAATGCTTATTTTTTGTTTATCTTGTAGATGCATATGATCATTAGGATATAATTTGTTTTTGATATTTTTCTTTTCAAAAGCTGAATATTTTTTATCACATTCAACATAATGGATAAAAAATAATTTTTTTATAGTGTTTTTTTTTGTGGGGAGGCTTAGCATGAGCAAAATAAATTCACGGTTTTGGACGAAAAAAAAATAGAATATCAAAATTTTTATCCTGTAATAATCAATTGCGCTTAGTTTAATTTTTAACCTATATAAATGCATATAGGAAAAAGCAAATGTTGTTAAGCTAGCGAGGGTCACAAAGCAATGCCCGGGCCCCCAATCAGGCGTAGGACCTCCCCTGGTTGGGAGTTCGAGGGGTTGTACGCGCCGGTCCTAACTACTGTCATATCTGTACTGGAGCTGCCATATCCTCACATTCCAGTCTTTATAGAATTGAGACGAGTCTTCGCGGCTTTGTAAACGGGAAATTATTTTCCACTCGACAATTCCTACAAGTCGATGGCTATTGCCATGGCAAATGTCCAACATTCTTTAGTTCAACCAGTTCTCACATTCATTGCCAATCTCGCCGTGCCACGTACACTGGGACGAAAATTCTCCATTCCTTTCGCATTGCGTTAATTCATGTTCCATTCTTCATTCTACACGGTGGAACAGACTCCCAGGAGGATGCTTTCTCGTTAACTACAATGTTTAATCTCTTAAAGTCCAGAGTTAATCGTTATCTTTCCTACATATCCTTATGAAGAAATACACTTCTTACCTTCTACTCTTACGCTCATACAACTTCAGTCAGTAACGCTCTACCATGGAGGCTCTTGGGCCTTTTATTGAGTGAACAGTGAGTAAAAAAAAAGTCTTTGTTTGTAGATTTCTTTTTTAACGGTATCAACTAAACATGTGTTCATATGCCTAGAATTTTGCGAGAAAGTGTCCCCGTTTGTGCCGGAAGATGCGTCAAGGATCGGATGAGTTGGAGGCTGTTCAGGGAGATATGGGGAAGAAGATGACAGTTACTTTTAAAGGTACAAATGGAAAGAAGAAGAGACATGACAGGTGCTCCATTTTTTTTTTTTTTTTTTTTTGGTTTTGATTTTCTTCTTTTTTTAGCAGAGAGAAACGTGAATTAAACTCGGGAACTGCTCTAATTTTTGCCTTCATATACGAGCTCCACCTATCTGATTTAAAAGTCGGTAAAGGGGACATCAGAAAAAAAGGTATTTTTTATTTACAACATAACCACACACAGACACGCACACACACGCACGCATGCACGCACACACAGACACACACACACACACACACACACATATATATATATATATATATATATATATATATATATATATATATATAAAAAAGTTTAAACACTATATCCTTACTCTGTCCTAGATATTGAGTTCTACCTGGATTCTATCCTCTTGGAATTTTTTATTCAAAAAACATACATGTATATGTATGCACCTCTGTATATATATTTTTTACATATTTCGCATATGTATGTGTATATTTACCACTAATATTATCTCTCTCTCTATATATATATCTATATCTATATATATATATATATATATATATATATATATATATATACATAAAGAAAGAAAGAACCGTAAGATATATAATCCGATGTTCTTATCGAAATTTCTATTTTTTACAAAATAGTGCTCAATGTAAATTTACAGAGCATTAATTTTATAAATTAACTGATTTAAAATATGTTTTTTTCGCTACACAGTTCTAAACATGTTTCAAAAATGGAAGCTAAAAGCTTCGAATTTAATTTTGTAATTAAATTAAAGACATTAGCTTCATTTCATCCTCAAGCAATTTTATATATATATATATATATATATATATATATATATATATATATATATATATATATACATGAATACATATATATATATATATATACATGAATCCCTCGATTAGTGCGGTGAATGTGTAGATTAAAAGATATGCACTTATCGAAAATTCATTAATCGAATATAATAACTGATAGGAAATTATTCAATTTGTAACTCAAATTTTAGTCTTATTCACAATTAATTTCTAATTTGCGTACTTTTTAATTAAAATATAGGTACATATAAGAAGATACAAAATATTGCTATGAATTAATGTTTATTAATCTGACCTTTAAAGAAAAATTTATTTAGAGAGGTTTGCTGCATCGTATTCATCTCTTCTTCATATAACTCCTTGTACTGACATATTACCCCACCAGGGCACCTCGCTACAGTGTACCGGTTAGTAAGCTTGTCTTGCTAGATCAGTTACGACTGAAAAGTGAGTTCCATCCTCCTTACTTTCGGCCTTGTGCCACGTCTAAGTTACGCTTAGAAAATCAATATTACCCGTAATATTTTCAAAACATATCATAATCATTAGTATTTTATCCTGAAAATTTTACTTATATAATTTCCATAGTAAATGCATACGTCTTTTATATTTCGATATTTTTAATAAATGTAAATTTCTGTATCGAATTAAATCGTCCATTTTTTTAAAACAAAAACTCAGAAATTTACTTTTAAGACCTCGAAAATAAACATGAAAAAAAATAAAATCAAAATATTCAAGAAATTTTAATAGAGACAAATCTTCAAATATGTATTTTTATTATCGGCTTATATTATAAATATTTATCTATTTATAACCGTCCATTTCTTTTTAACTCTACTGTAATTACTTAGGTAACGTAATACTTGACAAACAAAATAGTTACTCATTTTCCATTTTTAAATTTTAGGACATTTTTAATTAAGCGGTAACAATAAAAAAAAATCATTTTTCAATTATTATGGTTAAACTGAAGAAAGTTTTGCTGCCCTAATCGAGTATAATGCATGCACTAATCAAATTTTGGTGTATAAAAATTTTAGTACACTAATCTAAAAGCATTATTTGAGGCATATATATATATATATATGTGCGTAACTGCGAAATTGTTCAAATCGTGTAACAGCAAAATTGTTCAATTTTAAGATCAAGGTTTGAACCGTTGTATCTTAGAATTGATATCATACTAGAATACTCTGGGTTTTCTTTTATGAAAATATTGGACTCTACATTGAGCAATAAAAATGTATAATTACTCAGCATGCTTAACACAAGAATCGTGATGAAATCATTCATAAATGAAAATGACATGTTCATCATTAATTAATCATAGTTAAGGATCGGGAGCTCATGAACGATTGAAATAAATTTCAAATATTTTATGTATTGTTCCAGGATCATTTTCCAACTTATTCAAGGTGATCTTCGTCCTCTTTAAACTTCTAACTTTCTGTCCGGGTGTAACAAGTTGCCTCACAGGTTACACGTACGTTTTCATTTTCAAGGCTTTATTCACATGCCTTTTGACTGTCATAGCCGAAACTCCTCACTCACGTGTCAAACGTATTATGGATTGAGTTGAACCTTTTCTAACTGATACCTTTAGCTCTCAATTGAAATGTTGATCCCTCCTCCTGTTGTGGCATCCTGATCCAGTTTTCGCCTCTACTGTTCCCTCTTTTTTAAACTTATTCATCGTTCTTCTTGAATGGACTTCAAAGATAGAAGCCAGAGTATGAATGTTCGTACCCTTACTATTGACCTGAATGATCTTTTCCTCTCATCATTGCTCATTTGGGAAGACAGTGGGGTTGACACAAAACGATTTTAACCTGTTCTCTTTCTGGGTGAATAACTCAAAGGTTTTTTTTTCAGTGATCCTTACAAAAATGGGGACAATATATATATATATATATATATATATATATATATATATATATATATATATATATATACAAAAGGTGGAAAAGTAAAATATCCATCCCATAAAATGTTTAATATCATTTCGAGGAATGGACAATTTTGCTGTTACAGCCAGTATATACACACACACACACACACACACACACATATATATATATATATATATATATATATATATATATATATATATATATATATATATATATATATTTCTTCCCATATTTTGTTTTACAGGCATATCCGTATACTATAATTACAGATTTTTTATGAAGTTTAGTTTTTTTTTTCTTCTTGTCGGTATATCGTAATTGGTTTATGCCTGCCAAAATCTATCTATCTATCTATCTATCTATCTATCTATCTATCTATCTATGCAAATATGTGTATGTGTGTGTGTATGTGTGTGTGTGTGTGTGTGTGTTTGTGCGGGGTGAAAAATATTACATCCTGCTTACGTAATCCGTGATATCATATGTAGGATTTATTATACAGGTTGATTGAAAAGTAACTTCCTATTTTATGTATGATGGACTCTCCAGTTTAGCTATAATTTTTACAAGACGGGAGAATCCAACATACATAAAATCGGGGGTGGGGGTTACTTTTCAATCAGCCTGTAGAAGTTCTTGAATATTTTAATTCGCTGTTATGATTATATACATAACGCTGCAACTTGTCGCGTTATGGGGGTAGAAAAACATTTATTACGGTGTGTGCCTGAATATACAGGTACCGTATCTGTTATCGGTACAGAATGCAGTATAGGCGTGCCGAGTTCAAAATCCGGACCAGTCAGCTGGTTGGGAAGTGGCTGAAAACTGTATCACATGTGTAACCCAAGTCTTAGGTACATGAAATCACAAGTCATCGTGACGGAGGGTTCGAACGAACTGGGCTTTCTCAAGCACAGATCTTGCCAAATTGTGCTCTCACCCCCCAATACTATAACTAACAGTAATATAAAGTTTCTGAACAGGTGCCTTCAATCGGGGATTTTATTACTATGTAGAGCATATGATGGTGGTTGCTGGTAAGTGTCATTTGTCCATTTCATTGACAGGCTGTGTTCAATAATTTCCAGTATCTACTCGCTATTCCGAGTAGACAAGTTCTTTGTAAGAACGTTATTCCGAAATCCAAATCCAATGTCTGCAAGATATTTCTTGACTAGTTGCATGATGATGGTCGGACACAACCGGTCGAAACACTTTCGCCATTGGCTCTCATCTCATTGACACCGTTATCAGATTCGACACTGAATATGAGGTGAGTTTTAAAGTTAGCCACCAAACAGTGCTTTTTTGTCTAGAAGGATCATCATCCAAGACCAAAAATTTCTTCTTCTTCTTCTTCTTCTTCTTATTATTATTATTATTATTATTATTATTATTATTATTAAACTATATACCAGCATTGTCCTTTTATTTATTTTTGATTTTCTGTGTAATACTTGCAATACAGAATATTTTATTTGCCCTTTAAGATCTTCCCATATTTTGTTTTACGGGCATATATGCATACTGCAATTACAGATTTTTCATGAAGTTTAGTTTTTTTTTTGTTCTTGTCGGTATATCGTAATTGGTTCATGTCTGCCTAAATCTCTATCTATCTATCTATCTATCTATCTATCTATCTATCATATCCTAACCACACACACACACACACACACACACACACACACACACATATATATATATATATATATATATATATATATATATATTCTTGCTTGGTTGAGAACTTTTCAAACATCTTCTATATATATATATATATATATATATATATATATAAAATTTATATATGCATATATATATATATTCATATCTAAGGCTATTAATATTTATCTATCTAGTCTATTCATATGTGTGTCTGTTCTTATCTATCTGTCTATATAATCTATTCATATATATCTATCCAAATCTATCTATCCAAATCTATCTATCCAAATCTATCTATCTATCTAAGTATGTTCATACCTACCTATTTATCTGTCCATTCATTTCTATCATAGTATATTTCTATCTATCTATTTATCTATCTAACCATCTATATGTGTGCGTGTATGTGTGTATTTCCTATATCCCATTTAGACCACATTATGATTAAATACATATATTACATATACGCACACAGACACAGAGACCCACACAAAAAACACACACACACACGCATATATATATATATATATATATATATATATATATATATATGTATATATATCAATTATTTTGGCTATCTTTGTGTGTAAATCTAATAATGTAGATTAAATGGTGCCCTAAATGCCATACCATTACCTTGGAAATCCTTTGAAATCACACATCTCGAAATGCGTCTATCCAACTTCGACTTGTACTGCATTGAAAATGGTAAGACCTCTTCTCGATTATATCTTTTCTCCTCGGAAGGGAGGCGGCAAATGGAATCGTTATTGGCTGAAGCTTTCTGACCGTTACTTGGCTCGAGAAAGTCAGAGCGATTCTTCGCAGCAGCAGTGAGTGTAGCGGTTTGTCAGAACATCAAAGGCGGGGGAATATTGAAAAGAACGCTTGGAACTCTCCAGTCGAGGAAAGTAAAAAGAAATCTTCGTGCCTAGGAGGCATTTACCAGTATATTTTACGGGTTCACAGACAAAGATATGAGAAAAAAATCTAATCAGAAAGCATGAAAATAACTGCAAATTAATGATTGTATTTCTATCTCATATATATATATATATATATATATATATATATATATATATATATATATATGCATGTATATATGTATATATATATATATATATATATATATATATATATATATATATATATATATATATATATATATATATATATATATATATATATATATATATATATATATACCCATTCCAAATTCACTATAATTGAGAGAATAGAAAAGTTCAGAGCAGATAACATTAGAAAGACTTTAGATTTCCATGAAAATACGTGGATACAACGTTTAAAAACGCACCATCCAGACGGGTTCAATCACAAATTTAACAATATAGATAGTATTAATATATAACCCCACAAATCAGGCCTACCCCCATTTCTCACCCACACAAGACAGACATGCTTACAGAGGTGTTGAGGCCTCACACTCACACGAATATACACACTTACACACATTATACTCACTCACTCCCTAAGGAGCCAAATGATAACACACACCCATAGTAATATACACACTTACACACATCATACTCACTCACTCCCTAAGAACCAAATAACACACACTTAACAGAGACACATCCCCTTTCCAGGAACCAATAAAACTGTTAAAATGTCCTAGGGAATTCAGAGCAGCATGAATAAGACCATCCGGCTCTTATCTTATATAACAACTTAAAAGAGACTGTTTGACCAATACAAGGACTGACCAAAATTCATGTTAAAAAACAAAAAAAACAAATGAAAACTACAAAAAAAGTTCACTTTCTCCATCATGGTATACATTTCTGTAGTTCATTGGTACCAGCAAGCAGAATTTTTTTCTCCTGATGATGGCCATGTTGGCCGAAACTAATCGAGGAATCTAAATGAAATAATAATAAAAACGAAAGAATATTAATATACAACCCAGTGTGTCTGAAGATTTTCATTTTTAATATTTTTTATTGTTCAATATATATATATATATATATATATATATATATATATATAGAGAGAGAGAGAGAGAGAGAAAAAAGAGAGAGAGAAAGAGAAAGAGAGAGAGAAAGAGGAGAAATTGATTTTATAAGATTTTATTTACCAATACAATGTTAGGAAAATCACTGGCAACAAAATAAAATTATCGGATGCTATTTAAGTGAATTCGTAGCCCTCACTATGTTTATGAAGAAGACAAGTACACTGAAATTATTTTAGCTCCTCTAATACACTAATTATTTCATATTCAATACGAAACAAAAGGCTCGTAAAATGTTTCAAAATAGTAGCGTGGGCTATTCTGGCAAATCTCAAGAATTAAAATATACTGTCCTACTTACCAATTTTATCACAACTACAATAAAAAAGAATTTATATCAGCTTAACATATAATTTGTTAGAACTATATTCTATACCAATAACAGACTTAATTAATACAAAAAAAAAAACAATAATATGCTCAAATGTGTAAGAGGTGTTTACTCTATGACCTGTAATAACTGCCACAAGAAATACATAGGAAAAAACTTCAAGGAATTTAAATAAAAATTTACATGAACATAAAAGGGACATTTAACAAAACAACTCGTCAAACGTATTAGTTGTTCACTGTAATGAGTCTGGCCACAATTTAGAATAAAAAAAATGCTACTTTAATGAAAAACGAAGAAACCAATTTACGACGGCAGAAGTGTATAGTAAGTGACTTAATCTCTAGATCAGTGTTTCTCGGCCTTTTTTTAAGCAACGACACACCTGGTAGAAAATGAAAATATCACGGTACACTTTAAAGAGTATATATTTAAATGTTATGAAATAAAAGCATAAATTAACAAAAATACACATACATAAATATGAACTTACTTTATATCAGTGTTTCTAGTCAACTATTTGAGCAGCTTATTTAATGTGAAACCTGTGCCTGGTGCTTTTACGCGATTTCTTCAATGTTTTGTCAAATGTACGATAAGCAGACCCACATTCCTTCTTCAGTTGAGCGTAGTCTTTTCATTTTGATATTGTTTCTCTCGCTGAAATTGAGATAGGTTTTCCGTTCCTATTGGGTTGGTTAACTTCATATCTTATAACAAGGCAAACGGAATGAGCTTCGGCCAGCATTTCTTTCACGTCTTTTTCTCGAGAGAAAATTCATTGAAGAAATTGGAAATATTAGAACAGTGTTTCTCAAGCTTTTTAAGGAACTGCTCACATAGGCGCAAGTGAACATACCATGGCACACTTAGAAATTTTTTGAAGCGTATACATTGAAATCAAATAAAACCATAGATTAAAAAATACACGCACACATATGAAGTTACTTTATTTCAATGTTTCTATTCAACTATTTGTTCAGCTTATTTAGTGTTAAACCTTTGCTTGGTGATTTTTCCTTATTTCTTCAATGTTTGGTCGAATGTGCGATAAGCAGACCCTGATTTCTTCTTCAGTCGACAATATTTCATGGCACCCTTAAAGGGATTGGCGGTTTTCGAATTACCGCTCTAGATCATCCGAAGCAAATTTACGTCCATGTCCTTACATTTCATTTTTTTTCTTGGTAGATTTTCTATTATAAAAATGTGGGATGCAAAATAAAAAAGTGCTTAAAGTAAATGAATCTGGTGAGGCTATATAGCCAAACACATATAAAAAAAAAAAAAAATTAAAAGTTTGAAATTTCAGATTCCCCTCTCCTTAGTGCGCATGTGTAGTTACATCAACGTAAATATCACTTTCGTCTGATGAAGACTTAAACGACGAAACGCATAAAGCGAAAACAATTTCTAATTCATCATTGATTTTCTTAAAGCACACACACACACACAGATATATATATATATATATATATATATATATATATATTACAAATTGATTTATTTAAAATATGTTTTTTTCGCTACGCAGTTCTAATTTTTCAAAAATACAAGCTAAAGCTACGTTTAATTTTGTAATTAAATCAAAAAATTAGTTCCATTTCATCCCAAGAAAATTCGCTTGAGAATGAAATGGAACTAATGTCTTTAATTTAATTACAAAATTAAATTCGTAGCTTTTTTAGTCTTATTTTTTGAAACATGGTTAGAACTGTAAAAAAAAAAACATATTTTAAATAAATCAATTTATAACATTAATGCTCTGTAAATTTACATTGAGCACTATTTTGTAAAATAAAAATATCTATAAGAACACCGGATTATATATCTTACTGTTCTTTCTTTATATATATATATATATATATATATATATATATATATATATATATATATTAGACCCTGAATTTAACGGACTAAGAGGGGGGGATCGTCCGTTAAATTCGTTTGTCCGTAAATTTGAAGCCGTTTTTTTCGTCGCCTAAATTGTAAATAAACGTAAATACAGAATATATGTACGCATACTTTATTTTTAGATTAAGATATAGTTTTCAATAAAGTCTCAAGCGTTTTAAAGTTAAATCCGAGTCCGTTATTTCCGGGACCATATATATATATATATATATATATATATATATATATATATATATATATATATATATATATATATATATATATATATATATATATATATATATATATATATATATATATACATACACACACACACACACACACACACACACACACACACACACACACACACACACATATATATATATATATAAATATGGTAGGGTGCAAACGTACTTAGACTTGGAGATTGGAGATTGTATCTGACTATCCTTGTTTTTGCATCTCTATCTACCAATTTATTTTTAACAGATTTTTTTTAGCACGATATTAATTCACGCTAGCTGAAAAGCTACACCTCGTGCGGACGATTAAGATAGCTCCTGTGAAGGCCTAATTTGGCGTCCTGTTTAGAAAACAGCAATGAGAATTTTAAATATATAAATTTGAATTTTTCGATTCATTCCAAAAATCCTCAAAACTTCATTTTATCTCTGATTTTGAACTATAAGTCTTTGGGCCTGACTTGAACTTACGGTTACATCTAGCTATTTGAAAAGTAAAACGATGAGACCTAATTGCCAGTCCAGTAGTACGCTTAAATGCATGAGGCATAAAAAATGCCATGAAAATATTTATAGAAAAAACATAGTGAACACACGCCACGCTGGTCGAACAGTGACTGAAGATGGGATGTCAGGTCAGGACTAATAAAACAACAGATCCTTCTCTGGATTTTGTCGACACACACATATATATATATATATATGTCATTTTTATGTTTATACATTCTTTTTTTATAGATACAAATATTTAAGTAAATGGTCTGTTTAAACAACATTTACCAAGCAATTGTCATAGAAAATATGCATCCTCCGATAGGAATCGAACCTGTATCCTATACGGAACCGTCATATAGCCTGACGTGCTTTTACCGGTTTCACCACAGAGGAAGGTT